TTGCGGAATAGGAGATTAGGCTGATTTTGTGCGTTTCCCGCGATTTTGCCTTCCATATGGATCTGGATTGGATATGATATTCACATCAGCATTTCAAACTCCTCCAGAACATTTCTCCCAATTTTGCAATTTTATCCAATTGTCTACATACCATAACCTTGCGGTAGGTGGCTAATGTGCGGAAAGGGTGTGATATCTGTTATCAGCATATAAAATAACCTACCCAAATAAACATTAGCGAATTGCAGAACTAAACGACCATTACGGATTTGTTCTCCGCTTCACTTTATTGATTTTTTAGTCAGCTAAATCAGGGCGGTTTGCTTAACGGAAAACCATTTGTAAAGCACAACCTGTGTTGATTATGAATCCATGTCAGAACTTTTGCAGCTTATCTGACGACCCAGACATTGTGTTATGGGCAAAAAAGTTCAATCTATTTCTTATATATACAGTTCTTTCAGGCGCCGGGACCTTTGAGCTATAGACTTCATTCCCAAATTTTATCAGAGCTCTCGTAACTTCTCCGCGTATTGCTTTGTCGTGTTAGGGTGCCAATTAATAGCTATTGCTTTAGCCTAGATTATCACACTAGTACTTATCTCATTTTATATTTCAGTTATCAGAAAGTAATAAACCATATACTGCAGAGCGGTGAGTTGTGCGAAGTTGCACAAAAAATGCTGGAGCCAGTAAACCCGGGCCCAGGTGCCAGGCCATCTGCAGTCGCAGCATTCAAGGTTAAACTTTCTAGTCGTCACGATATTACTAATAGCTGCATGTCTTACTTTAGGCTGCTGCTGATAAATGGCGACGCGACGCATTGGAGTTTGCTTCGCGAGCTTACTGTACTTCGAGACAAGAACTTAATCTTCTAAGTCGTTTAAAACATTCGAATATCGTCTGTCTTATTGGGGTTCGTAAAAGTAAATTCTTTTCCTTTACCCTTCATTCTTTTTATCCTTTATGACTTCTTCTTTCTTTTCCGTTTTTGGAAGGCTCTCAACTTTCAATAATATTCAGGTTTGTGTTTCCCCTCTCTCCCTCATATTCGAACTTGCTCCTCTTGGAGCTCTAAATCAGCTTTTGGCCAGCCATAGAAAAAGCGGTGCTCGTCTGGGCCTTTCTGTTCTTCGGGATTCAGCTGTGCAGGTGAGAGAAAGTGAACCCAACAAGTCCATTTTTCTGAGTTTAATTTTTGATTTTTAGGTGGCCAAGGCTCTTGAGTATTTACACTCGGCACACATCATTTACCGGGATCTCAAGAGCGAAAATGTTTTGGTGTGGCGATTCCCATCCCCATTCGGGCCTCAAACCGACGTGC